CCGAAGAGATCATTATTGTACTGGCATGGTACAAAAAGCTAGAAGAGCAAGAAGTACTCAGAGTAATAGATCCAGATGAAAGTAATGGAGATTTTTATTCAAAAAGTGTTCACAACACTGATTCAGAAGAAGATGCTGGGGGGAGGATGTTGCTGAGGAAGGTACAACCCACTGAAGGAAAATTTGTCCACCACAAACAAGAAATAGAGTATATAATATATTTGAAAAAAGACCTGGCCCATAGATGATGCAGTATATGCCAAAACCATAACAAAATGTTGAAATTTTTATTAGCAACAACATTGTGGAAATGGTAATTGATTGATCTTCAAAGGCTGCTAAATATGGCATCATGTCTTCGCAATAGTTAAATCAAGCAACATAATTACTGTGAACCTTGAAATATATGCAGGAACTCAGCCAGAAGGACCCTCTCAACTATCGAATAGCCTGTCAGATGTTATCAAGTGACTTGTAAGTTCTATATGACGAACATATAGTAATATTACTATATACAATTGGTTTTCTAGATTCCCACTAGCTATACAACTCAAGAATGAATTCCAGCTAGCTACACTCGGAACAGTAAAGAAAAACAAGCTGGTTATACTTATTGAATTCACTAGCACAGACTTCAATAGTCAGTTTGCATTTCATAAAGACTGCACCCTTGTTTCTTTTGTCCCAAGGTAGAAGAAAAATGAGCTTATCCTATACACAAGCCATACAGATAACAGCATAGGTAAGTATAGGGAACTGGCAAACCAACAATGTAGGTGGACTACAAGCATTCTAAATTTAAGATCCATGTTGTAGATCAAATGTGTGGTTCTGATAATGTCACCAGAAACAGTAGGTTATAGTCCTTAACTATTTTCTTATATATTATGAATAAATCAGAGCTAAATGAATACATCTTAAAAAATTGATAAGCAATAAATGAGTTTTGAAATTTATCGCATTGTTTTTATATAGTTGTGTCTCCAGTTATGTCTATCGCATTGTTATAAGCTCATACAAAGTGTCCCTATTATTTCCATGCAACATTATTGTGAGTTAGGCATATAGACGGTCCATATTTATTTAAGAAACTTACAGAAACATTATTGTTACAGAAAAATGACCAATAAATAACTCAATGAAGCAGAACTGCATGTTACAAATCAAAAATCAAATAAATATCATCAACGGCTCAAATTTTACAAAGTCTCTAAACTAGATAGAAAATTTTGGTCTTCTTCCCTGCATTTTACCATATTTTCAGACGTTTGTCATCATCTATGCTAAATACACAATCAGTCCAGTAAAGTCTCTGAAGTCTAACTAATTCTGATTTAGGTATTTCTTTAAACAGTTAGTTACGTTCATGATCATATATTTAAATCTCCATATATTATTTTCAGTGGTAGATCTAGAAAACTTGTAACATTCTTTCATCACCCATATCTCATATCCAGTACATACTCTTAGTCTACTTATGATTATATAGACTTTAATGCTTGATAGATCAAATTACAGGAATATGCCAAAGATCTATGCACGAATTAAAAGAAATGACCAGAGACAGAGATCTCTGGAGACGGACAAGACACGACATCACGTGGACCACTACACTCTCCCTGGAGAGTCAGGATTGAAGAGAGAGAATGCTTGATGTCCAATGTATTATTTTTTGGAAATTTAGCTCTCTCTTTTTCCCAGTGTATTTAATTCAATCCTAGATATACGTAAAGCTCTCTACTGCTTCAACATCATCCTCTACTTTAATTTGAAATAACATAAAACTAATCAATATTGAATTGCTTACCTGATATCATTGTTTTGCTTAAGATTGTATTAACAGGTTCTTCATCTTCTCCAAATTGGGGAATAAGAGATTTCCATGTTTTGATTGATTTGTCATCACCTATTAACAACATTAATTATTAAGATTTTGGATTTTTAGCATGAAATATTTGTATATGTAAAAAGAAAGATTAGTTTTTGCCTTATAAAGAAACAAGATTTTGTATTACTATAGTGTAACACTTATGACTTGGACATAAATATTGTAAAACAGCAATGAGATCATGTACTCACCAACAGTAATGAAGTGTTCACCTTTAGGTGTATACACTATACCCCTAACAATGCCATCATGAGCAACAAATTCTCTTAAACAAATCTTTCGTGGTAGATCCCATACCCTAACTTCCCCATCAAATGCCCCACTTATCAAAACAGACAGTTTAGCAGGGTGCTTTGCAATGCTGGAAACACCATCTCTATGCCCATCCAAATTTCCTAAAAAGGGCTTTGCGAACATTTTATCTAATTTTACAGCATTTAGAGCTCTTGTGTATTCTCTAGCAGCTTCGAAGGGATGTAATGCAGGATCATAATTTCTTTGAACTGAAAATGTACAGGTTATTGTCATACAATTATTTGTTACTTTAATATAAATTACCTTTATGTATCTCGAGCTTTGTTTCTCGTAAATATTCGTCCGGGTTTCTACTAATCACTTTTACCTTCATTTTTGTCTAATTCATATATTTTTTTAAAGATTTTAAACATCAAATCAGTAAACATAACCACATGTTCTTTGACTGCCAAGAAGTTAGCTATGTTATGTTTTCAATTCAACATCTTTTCCAATGTTTGGTGACTCGTGTAAAGTTTTCAGTAATCGTTAAAAGTGTAGCTAGTCAACACGAGATGGCGGTGCTAAATTTATAATTCGAAATTTGAGTGAAATAAGAATACAATCTAAGTTCTCTAATGTGTAAAAAATAAAATGAAATAAAGGAAGATAAATTATATTTGTTTATTAATTATTAAATATGTATTTAAAACAACTTTATATAATTATGAATCTTTATGTTCGTGAGTCGTGTAGAGTTTGCAGCAATTCTCAAAAGTGCAACTAGTCGACACGAGATGGGAGCGTTGATGTTAACTTCAGAATTTGAGTGAAGAAAGAATCTACAAGGTGTCACTACGTGTCACTATGAATTAAGTTCTGTAATGTGTAAAAATGTTTAAAAAATGAAATGAAAAAAAAGGAAGATAATTATTATTTGTTTATTAACTATTGAATATGTATTTAAAACAGTTTTATATTAATTTTTTAATTATTGTATGAACTTATACCTACATTACTGTAGATTGTAATGATTTTGTGTTTCTGGAAGATAGAAGTATATTTTCAATAAATATTTGTTATGTTTATCTTATTAAATTTATTTCTAGTTGATATATAAATCTGGAGAGCGCGAGAAGTATATGTTAAATTTTAAACTTGTTGTTCTTCTAGATACTTTTTTTTCTATATCTTCTAGATTACTTAGTTCAATGGATTATATTGACCAAAAGGTTAATAAGTAGGGTAATAAAGTACCTAGTAATAAAATCGTCTAATGCAATACTGATAGAAATTAGATATTCGGTTCCGGTGAAGCATAAATATGGTGTCTTTGTTTGACTTACTTACTTTGAATATTTACCCAAGTATGAGAAAAAAACTTAAAAAAATGAGATATTTAATATTATATAATTAAGTCATATATAAAGTACCTATTAAAAATAAGAATGAAAAATATTTGTAATGTGATTATTAATGACCGTGTAGGGGTCCTAAAAATAATTAAGGCGGGAAGTTAAAAATTTTTTCACTTAGACTGCTACAATCGTCCGCGGAGAACTAAATAAAAATAACATTATTTCTAAAAAAATTATAATACCTAACAGTTTCTGGAGAAATGCAACATGATTGTCTCAGTTCATATTTCTGAATCATCTGACTCAGAATCAGAGTCCATCTCATCATTTTCAGAATCACTGTCGCTATATCGACACGTACATTTATGCTTATTTAATCCACCAGGGTATCAAAAGCTGGCTGTTGTGCCATATAACATAGATTGTGTCCTTTATCCTCGAGTATTTTGTCAATTTATTTCATACGTTTTAAAGGGAGGATTTTGTCATTTTAATGCCGTATACCTAGTTCAAATTTCAACATGTCATCTGTAAACGAAATAGGTATTTCGAGTTGTCAGCCACTACTGCATTTCTGCTTTTCTGGAAGACATAGTCGGACATTTCTAAGCTTGTACGTTGTGATACGGTGCATTATGAATCACTAAAACGCTGTTTGGGGCAAATTTGATATCAGCTTATCCTGAAGCCACTTTTGTAATTGTCGTAGTTCATTGCATACTATCACAAGCATCTATCATTTAGATACTGGTTTTTGTAGGCCCTTGTTTGAATTATCACACCAGCTCTTTTGGTAGGTATAGAGATGAATGGACATATGTTTCATCCATGTATATAATTGGGCGATTTACGTTCCTGTAACGTTTCATACTACGTAAGACATTCAGTCTAAGATTATTTATTTTCCATTAATAATGTTCTATTAGTTCTGGTTTTTCGCCAACGAAATCCCATCTTTCTAATTACTGTTCGTAGGCTTTCTATGGAACCTGAGTAATTGTACTCCTTTGCAAATTTTCTGTGTATGCGTTTCACAGTTGGCACTTATTTTTGTGTTATATAAAAAATCCATTATATAACGTCGAAGTCGCCCTATATCAAAATCGTCCAAGCAAGTTTTTGAAGCACCTTTTTCCTCTTTTTGTTTGGAGTACAAATGAGGAACATTCGCCGTCTTCAATTAATTGCATTTCCCTAGCAATTTTTTAAACGCTGCTTAAAACTAACAGCTAGGTTGCATGGTAACTCATGACATTGACAGAATGAAATACGACGTGTGACGTCACCCAGGGGTCAATTTTACCGATTGTTTGAAAACAAAATAGGAGAAGTGGTTTGGAGAATATATTTTGTTGTTAAATATCGTTAGTGCTTTAGTTTATGTTAATATCTTGAGATATAATGTGTCTATAGATATTATTGAGTGATTTTTAGTATACAACTTGGACCCAATACTCTTATACAAGCATGCTCTTTTTCAGCATGGTTTACTTGTTTGGAGGAATTTATAATAATCCACTACATGCATTATCTTCAATTCAAAATAATTTAAAAAAAAAGTAAATTGTATTCAACCCATTATTAATATAGTATATTAACATGTTTTAGTCACATGTATACATAAGAAAGAATCTACTTCCAATTTCCAATCAAATATAGTAATTCTATTCTTACAACACATGTTTAGCTGCAATAATTATTTTATGATTTCTATAACTCTGCAGTACTTATCTCCCACATTTTTAAAAGACTGAATAAGATAAATAGTTATTAAAAGTCCAAACGTATTTTTTTCGATATACATAAATTAATATATTTACAATCGCTACATTGTTGCTTTTCGCGTTCATTTCAAGGAGTAAAGTGAATGAATTTGAATGTAGCTTTCTCAGTGACGTCATTATCGCCGTTAGATTCTCGACGCTGATTGGTGTAAAGTTACAAGACAACCTGTCTATTTTTAATAACCTTGACACCTGTTGCCAATGCCAATAGCACACGCTCCTGCACTTTTTATCAAATCTCTACACGGTTTATTGTCTTTGGCTTCCTTTCTAATAAAATGAATCACATTTGCTATCATTTCTCGTGTCTGAATAATTAAAATGTTTGTGTTCAGATTCGATAACTCTATGTTTAATATAGGTACACAACAGAGATTTTCAAAATTTGGAAATGATTCTCCTTTGCAGTTCGTACTTACAAAAAATGTTTAGCAGACTGTACCGATTTGTTCATGTCACAAACGGTAGATATTAAGTGGATGCTCATGTGAAATCCGTCGGATGACGAATGCGCATCATGGCATGGTTATTTTCAGACTTTCAGCTAATTTGGTGAACTGTACAGGTGGATATCTGCTGTGTATGTTACTTTTGATGATAATAGATTTTTTGTTGTCAAAAAGCTAAAAGATAAGAAAAAGGGTCCAATGGTTATTTATTTATAATATTTACGATAACAATTTACAAAGTAGTTTACAACAATTGACTTTTAACAATTATTCGTAAAAATATAGGTACGGTTCGAAAACTCGACAATTTGATTTTTTCATATATTTACAAAAATTTGATGCACATACGGACTAGGTATCATCTTTTATTAGTAATCGATCATTTATACATTAATTTAACATTCATTAAGGGATTATTCATTGGTCCAACAAATCACTGAATAGAAATTAAGCAAATTAACAGATCCGGTTACCAAAAGCATAAAATAGGTCAATAAATTACACGGTTAGAGGTCAATTAGGGTCCATGATACTATAACAAAACAAGATAAGTCAACGCGCATGTTCTTGTGACGTAAGCCCGAGACAACTTTAATGACGGCAAGTTAAATGCTCATAAGTGTTCATGTTAATTATGTTATGTTAGATAACAATATATACTAATGCCCATTTTAATAGAACTTGAAGAAATACTTTATTTTTGATGAGTCTTTAAAAAAAGTTACTTTGGATGTATGTAGTATGTACTGTATGTAGTGAACTGGAACATATTTTTCGTAGTTATAATGGGGACACATTAAAAATAACAAAAAAATATTTAAAAAACTTAATAGAAGCTACAAAATCACAAAGATTGTAAAATAATGTCTAAATGATATTCATAAAGTCTCAAGTATGACCCGCTTTTCCTTTATGGCCAAATTCTTTAGATTTTACCGGCATTTTATATTTAACTTTTGTTTTGTAGCAATATTTATTTTGTTTGTAATACACACAATCAAATCGTAGATTCATAGATTTCTTTAATTAATTGTAAAAATTACTTATTTATTTTCAAACCACGTTTTCACAGAAAGTAAACTAGTTATAACTTCTTAGTGCAAGATACGGCATCGAGGTATACTTACCGTTAACAGTTTAAGCACTTTAAGTTTCGAAGTTGTTCATTGCAGTAATGGAACAACGTTGCCATATGATCCATATGCCATATGCCACAAGTCCTCTAGCTTTGTCTCGCTATGACGTCATGCGCAAAATTAGAACGACAAGTGAGCATATCTTGTTTTGTTATAGTATCATGATTAGGGTCTATAGTACTCGTAATGGTAACAAATGGTTGCACTGCATTCTAGTTTCATAGAAAAATGGTATTGACTTGATTTCAAAATAACTGGACAAGTTTTTAGTTTGAACTTCGCTAAAGTTTAAAATTTGTATTACTTTGCAGATAATAAGGCATTTTAATGTAGACAACTAATTCAGAAAAGAAGAGAAATGAAAAGCGAAACGGAAACTACAGCCGACGAACTACAAAAATTAAAGAAATATCCAAAGCTGTTAGACACGACACTCGAAAATACAACCAAGAACAAATCGAACATACCATTGAGAACAATAGAAGTATGAAAGTATTGAGAAAAATATTAAGAACGGGGACAAGACAGATAATAAAGATTAAAGATAGAAATAGTCATCTTACAACCAACAGAGAGGAAATCCTTAAATAGTGGAAGATTTCTACAAATTGCTGTACACCAGCCAACACAAAGCAAATAGCAGAGAAGATCAAGTACCAGAAATATT